TTTATATGAATATTTGCTAGGCAAGGGCTTTTAGAGTGGTATTCCCACACTTTCACTAAAGGTCTCATGTCATTCCATTATATAGTGATTAGGCATCTGGATGCCAACACATCTAAAATCAACCCCCTAATGTATTTTGCATACCAACCCTGCATGTAAAGTGTATTCAAATGAATCAGTGCAACAAACAGACTATTGATTACATTATTTTGAACATGCAAAACACCTAAATAAACCGTAGACCATCTATAGATGTATTTATGCCATATATTTTCATTATGAATTCCTGACAGAAATGAGGAGACAGCTTTTAGATGTGTACTGTATAGTTTATTGCTAAGTAGCTTCAAACCAGAAATGCTGATTTCTTCAACATAATCTTAAGGGAGCTCACAATAATAAACTTTACTCAGACTTAAATAATGTGCAAGTTCAACCAATTAAGGCCCTCAACTTGTACTTCAGATTAAACAAAATGGTCTTTAACCTCGCTTTAAAAAACAAATATGTTTGAAAATTCGTTTTTTTTAAAGTTTTAATTGAGTATAAAGTATATTTTAGGAAGCCTTGAAATAATATTACTTTCAAATTTGAATAATTATTGTAAGATTTTTCTTTTTAAAGCTGCAGTAATGTCTGTGTCAAGAAAAAACTCAACATTAACTGTGCCACATACAGACATTAACAGTACAAACAGCAAAGATTTCCCGTATCTGGGTTCTGTTCATGATAATTGTGGAACTGCATGCCATGCAAGTTACCACCAGCAAAACGCTGATCACAGTGATAAGCAGAGAGTTGACTTGCAGGAATTCAAAAGAAGAAAATGTATTCAGGGTGTGTAACAGTTAATAAATGTTCTGTTAAAGAGAAATCAAATCATATTCTTTAAAGTTGCTACCGATGAACCCCAAAGGTAATTGTTATTCTTGAGAAAGGAAATATAAGACGCGGGCACGGCATAAATAGGAACAGCAGCACATCAAGTGATTTTGTTTCAAAGACGAAGCAAAGAGCTGAGTCCACCCATGAGAATCCCGAGCGCTCTCTGTAAGTAGATGTTGATATTAACAGCAAAGCCTCGGAGCAAGAGCTCCCTGGAAGGGACTGACTGAAGCATTCAGGAGCCGTTGTGTTTAAGAACAAAGGGCTGACAATCAGGCAGCATTGTGTGCATGACACTATAACTAACGTCTGACACATGCACACGAGGGGTGATCTTCACAGGCAGGCTGTTTTGTTGGCTGACTGCTGTGTAAAACACCAGGCAGGCGATGGTACATTGACAACACAAGAGTGGAGGAATCATACGGTCGTCCTGGAAGAGTTTAATGAAGCTGTCCACCAGCCAGTTATAGACATTTTCAGCAGTGTGTTTCAGCACCAGCACTCTATTCTTCCAACACTAACTGTGTGAAATCTAGTCTACAGCCGTGTACAATTTTTCTTACTGGCCTCTACCTCCCACCAATCCTGTAATATAAGCCATCTGAGGCAGTAAAAAGTCCTTAGGCAAAAAGAGAAAGCCCTCTTTAATCAATTAAGTGGGCAGTATGGTTGACCTCTAACCCAGTCAGCTAACTTCACCAATTACAGTATGTCTGCATCCGTGCCAAAGAGTTATTCCAATCCCAGAATAAACTATGTTTGATGACAATTTGCCAAGCACAGCAGCGAGTCTGACAGAAGTGTTCTACTGCTGAGCGTGCAGCACATCTCTTCACGGTGAAACCACACACGGTAATCTGACTTGTCTCGATGCAGCGGAAGACTGTACACTGAATGTTTCTGATTTCTACCAACGTGTAATTGTGAGGGTTTATTTTAAGCCCTGCCACCCTATGACTGAAAAGAAGAACACATTTGGTTGTTATTTTTTCGATTAACATCCGTCTTCCAACAACAACATTAGATAAAAAAGAGAACATACACAGAAATGACCTAGCCTCCTGGTGTAATCCTTAAAAAAATCAATGTGGGGTTTCTGCTCTGATGGTTTACCAGGTACTTTATTATCTGGATACGTTTTATGGAGCCCATGAGACATATTCCGACACTGTTACAATTCAATAATTGATGGCCTGAAGAGTTTAGATAGTAGCTGTGCAAATATGCTTATTCAAAAGTGAATGGAAAAAACTTCTATTGGGAATTCCATCAACAAACACACATTAATAATAAGGGATTTTTTAAAGGAATCATTAGAATAATTATTGATTTTATTTAAGTTTTTTGAGATTTATGTTAAGTTCAAGTTATACATTGGGTTTAATAATTTGTCTAATATATTTTCATACTGTATGGTCAAACTAACATCTTTGTGTGTCGTCCCTTTAATAAGCTTTGCTTGTCAGCTGCTCTCTTAAAAATGTGTTTATGCAAATGGAAGCTTTTCAACCTGAGGTATGGCCACCTCTGCAGAGGGACTAAACCGTGTTTAGTATCTGGAGGCAGAGCGATAGCATGACATGATGGAGTGATGAATGCTAACGCTGTACATGAAGCTCTCCACACGTTTGTATTAGCATAGCTAATTAGGCATAATTGAGTGCTTTTACTAGCATCTCTTGAGGCCGTATATCTAACTTCTGTTGTATTTATGCAAGGTTATTTGGAGGCAACAAGATTTAATTACACACAGTGTAGAGGCTGTACTTCATTGTAATTTGGATTAGATCACTGCCCCGAAAAACATGTTGATCTATAATGGCCAACAGACCTCTGTCTTTGACTTCAAGTTGTTGGAGTTCCAAGTAGACAAATGTTACACAAGAAAGACAAAAAAAAAAAAAAATGACATAGTGTTATAAAAATGTGAAAGTATTTCCAAATAATTGTGAAAACATTATCTGACACATTCTGAGCTATTACGTTGATAAATGAAACCCGTCCAGTGCTCCCGAGGGGTGAAGGCCAAAAAAGAACTCACTGTGCTCAAATACTGGAATGCTACATGTTGTTTTACTCCAATAAGAATGATTAAACTAAATAAAAACAGCTGCCTAAGTTAAGGCCAAAATTCTATCTTGAACAAAACATTGAAATGATCAAATGGGATCAAAACATAATCCAAATACAAAGCAACAATTGTGAAATAAACCATGTGCATGTTCCAGTAGGCTACATCAGGGGACTCTTAATTATCATTCCTTTCAGAGAAGACATCCTGCAATGCTTAAACATATTATGGGTTGGTTATCTTACAATCCAATTTACAAAGTTGGATTAAAAAACAAAGCACCACTTTACAACACTGATGACAAAAAGGAAAAAGGACAACGTCAGAATCCGCTGTGTCTGTGTAGCCTGTACACTGTCAAATCATGAAACAAATGATGTGAAAATAACAGAGCAGGAGCACTAGTTTGAAAGCACATCATGTAAGTGGTTAGAAAGCCTCTGAACATTTCAGTTCTTACAACATTATCTTTGTTTATATTTGAGTAGACGGCTGAAATGTCTCCCTCTGAGGTGAGGCTGAATATACAGTACGGTTCTGCCGGAGCAGAACAAGTATGGTAAAAAGTTTGTATTGTTTCTGATGAAGATCCTGTTCTCGTCTGAATTTTCTGAGCTTAAGAATCGTCCTATTTTTGTCTACATTATAGCAATTTATAGCAATATGGCACGACATTGAAAATGTGCTACATGGACTTGAAATTGGTATGTGATGTATTCGCAATGCGAGGAACACACACATGCTCAATCAGTAACAAAACGATCAGATTCCCATCAAGCCAAAACCCTGTTAAAGCACATAAGGCAGCTCTATGATCATTACTGTCTGACACTGCCAATTACCAATTCAGTATCTCTATTTTGACTAAGAGGCAAAAGAAGGATTAACTTCAGGCCTCTCTGCTTTCCCTCTTCCCTCTCATGAAGCTGACTATGTTTACTGACTAATCTGCTTTCCTGCTTTGACCATAAATGTGATTACCACCACACAAGAGATAATAAAACCCCATATCTCTGCTGTACCAAAGCACATGAATTAAAACCTAAGCTTTAGCCTTGAGGAATATCGAAAAGAAGAAGAATAAGGAAAAAGAAACCCTCAGCAAAAGGAGTATTTTGTGCTGAGTGCATACAGCCCCCTACTGGTAAACAGCACTCACTCTTTAGCCAAGCACCACACAACAAGCTCCATGATCTTCTGTTGAATGCGTGCAACAGGTATGAAGCTACTTCCAAAACATATCTACTGAGGTTGCATTGTCACTAAGTAAATATTCCACTGTCTCTATTTAAGCAGCATTATGATGTTGAAAGTAAATTACATAGATCCCACATGTTACTCTTGGGCTGTTAATCCTGATGTTTAATGGACTATTGATCAATGAATAACCTGTTGGTAAACCCACTTATTTGAGGAAAGGAATAATAATTTGTTATGGACCCAAGGCCAAAACAGGTGAAAAGTAATGTGGGTTTTACCTGTGAAAGTGCAAATTAAGTTTATAGGCTATTAGCCCTTTCAGTTTGGCCTCTAAAGTGTTAAAGTTAAAACACCTAAATAAAAATATTAACCATATGAGAATGGATATATGGATACCTAATAAGCAATATGACAGGATAATCATTTGAGCTTTATACTGATTTTTCAATCCAGTGCTTGGTGTCTACTTACTTAGTGGCTATAAAATGCAACTTGCTGTGACTCTACATAGGTAGTGGACCTGGAGTGGATCATACTGACCTTTAAAAAGCTAATAAATAGAGTTGTATTGTATTGCAGTGACTTTGATTGTTTATATACTTGAAATAAGTCCAAAAACATAACCACTGAATGTACATTTTGCAAAAACAGACTCACACTTGAGACTCTTTTTGGATCTTCTGATAAAAGAGGATGTTGGTTACAGGGTGAGTTAAATCCTCAAATGCTTGCGGGAGATCAGTTAGTTCAGGTTGTGTGGACATCATGATCAAATGCTTTTATTTTCGGGGGGTAAACAAGACACGAGGGGGAAGAAAAGCACCGATGTCATGTATCCTACCTGATATTTCCTGATGAGGCACATTGACGAGGCTGAATCCTTTAGCGGTATAAGCTTGCCGTGCCTCGCTACAGCTCCGCGCTTTGCTTTCTCCAGCAGATGACAGGGACAGCACCGACAGAGTACATAAGGCGACTTGCAGCCTCCACATCGCATACATTAGTGGAATCCTTGATAATGTTTCACAGGGAAATATCCGTCACAAAGAAAAAAAAAAGAAATCCGAAAAGGTCTGACTGAAAGATGTCTCCGGTGGGGAGGATGTCAGATGTTCATTAAAAACAAAAAATAGAAATCACTCCTCACTTGACATACTGGTACGTCCACCACATTGCAAACGCTTCGTCTGTTCTTCCCCTGGAAAAAATAAAAAGACCCCGGTGAGTCCGATTGCTCCCAGCTAGAACCAATCCGTTTGGAGGGAACAGTTTCTACCAGGTGCTCTCTGTGCAAACAACTTCTCCCGCACACACAGCAGCTCTGTGTTCGTGTCGGCGTGAGGAAGGAGAAATGAAACGGAGAGACGCGCAGCACGGCACAGGGCAGGGCAGAACATGGGGGGGGGAGAAGCTGCGACTTCAGCTGCTCGCATCCAGGGCGCGCACTGTCCTCTGCATGTATGCATCCACAGTAATGCGCACACAGCACATCACTGGGTAGACACATGTTGGAGGAGGCGCGGGGACCTGGAGGTGGTGTAGGCAGAGCAGACCTACACATACACCAGAATATTGTGTTTTATTGTACTATGCAAAGTTACAGATCCTGCAACTGTTTCATGTCTTTTAATAAGGTTAACAACAATGGAAGTATACGATAAACGCTTTCAAATATACCTAGAACATTAGAGGCTTATTGTCACTCACACACACACAGACATCCACACACACACACACACACACACACACACACACACACACACACACACACACACACACACACACACACACACACACACACACACACACACACACACACACACACACACACACACACACACTATTTATCGTTTGCGCACATTTTCCAATGTTAAACATTGTTTTACGTTATTTCATATGTCTTGGGTCATACTAAAAGTATTTACTTGAGCTGTGTTAAATGCCCTTCACCCTAAAAGCCTCCCTTTGCCTAAACATACACAGCCTGTTCTGTAGAAATAACACAACAATTCCATTGAGGTGTTTCTGGGTCTTACATTTATGAAGAAGATTGTACCTAATTTAGCATCATTAGCGACAAATAATGCATTAACTATGGCAGCACAGAAGTGTCTCATCAAACTGTGTCATGATTAAAACAAGTTTATTTTCACAAAGAGACAACTTTGAGAGAAGAAGAAGAATTTGTCTTGTTAAGAAAATCTAACAAGAAAAGTATCATGTTATAATGAGAGATGGTCTCTTGAGTTTAAAAGTAGACTGCATCTCATAATATGTGCTACAAACAGCCCCACTGTGGGTTTTTGTGCTGTAAGAAACAGCAGGCTTGTTAAAGTAACATTTAAATTGCCTCAAAGTGCAATTAGGCATGGTTCAGGGTGGTGAAACAAAAAGGGGAAATGGTGCTAGAACACTCACATTTGAGCCCGATTGAATGAATTAAGAAGCTAAGAAAAAGAAATTCAAAGTGAATGATAAGTCCTTCAGGATCTATAGAATGTCAGGACTGCCCCAAGGAAAGAGTTTTTTCTCGATACATTTGATATAGTAGACAGAGCATGTGAAAGAGCAGGCATGATGTGAAACAAAGGTGCCCAGAAGATGATGCAATGGTGAGCATGCTGCTAAACGCCTGATATAATCAAATGATATGGCATTATACAGACTATTTCAGTTTGATCAATCATTTTTGTTATTTCCAGGTACTTACCCTGTGAATTGTCAGGAGGAAGTGTGTTATGCAAGTTATTTGAGTGTCTTCACCCACACAGTTAGTATTTTGTTCTTAGTCAGTACTTAAACATGAATCAATTGCTTGATAGAACATTTCATAAAAAATAATTCACACAAATATCTCCAAACATTAACATATTTCAGTGTAAAACTTCCACTTTCCACCTTTCATAGATTGTAACTATACTGGTGTAAAGTCACAGTATGTTGCATTACTCTGCAGTCTGATGAAACCGTCATGCAATCAGTCCCAAAAAAGAATTCCTGATTAATGTAGTGTGATATTTTACATGGTAACTTGATGCCACATTACTAGAATAATGGCTAACTTTGCAAATTGGCTGAGTTGTACAATGGTGGAATCAGATCTGAGTCTGCAGGAGTCCGCCAGGAGATTGCATCATAACAGGAAACGCATGTGATTAGCTAGCTGATCAAATACTTGAAAATGTGAGTGATAAAGTTTGTTGTTTGTTTATTTCTTTGTAATTTATTTATGAATATATAGAATCATGTAAATAAAATGACTTAACATAATAAAATACCAACTTTCTTGTGAATTCAAGTCAAATCACATGGAAAAAGTACCTCTGTTCAAATAGTGAACATATACAAGATATAAAACAAGAACCAGAATAATGAGACAGGATATTATTCTTCTGTGTCTGATCTGGTAATTGTGTGGAAGACACGTAATGAAAATTAAATACATTTGACCTCACATTGTTTTTCTTTCATACCGATCTTTTGTTTAATAAGATTACAAAAAGATGTCAGTCTTTCTGTACAGAGAATTGTGAAGCGCAACAGTGACTGAAAATGAAGATTTGGCTATTTTATTGAGAGATGGCTCAGGAACTGAATTTCCTCCTTTGAAACAATTGTTATATATCATTTCTCTATTGTGGGAAGTAACTTTCTATATTGCTTAACGTTGTTATTCAACTTTGTTTGCAATGATTGTGACACAAATTGTCTAAATAAATGTAATAAAATACAACCAAATGGACTCATAAAACCGAAAAAATAAGCTTTTACCTCAATGTGCACATTGACCACTTTTGAACTTCCTACAAAAACAGATAAATGGTGTGTGTCAGAGGCCTATGACTGTTATATGAATGTTAATGACCTGTTGTTATATGTTTGAGTTTAAATGATCATCGGCCCAAATTAGCCCGAATTGATTATCTTCCATGGCAGCCAATGTGTCTTATCTGTGTTGTTGGGCTCTGTTGAAGTATGTATTGTATTCTATTAAGGAATGCAGTGCAATGAACATATCAGATCAAATATTTTTTTTGTTCCCTTTTCACCATTGGTTCCATCTGCACAGCACTGTTACAACCCTACTCAGCTAATAAGCCCTTGCTAATGAGCCAGAGATGATGTCCAGAAGGTGATCCCAGTGGTGGATCGATAGCTCACCATGAGGAGTCAGCACGGGGTTCATCATGACTCATGCTCAGTGCACCACAGGGAAAACTGAGCTCTCACTATGCAGGCCTGCTGCTTTCACTAAACACTGCTAATTGTCAGAAATTAGATTTCACGTTTTCATGGGATATTAATGCACTAAAGTTTTATTTTAACTTTGAATCCATAGCAAGTCAGACAGATAGAACTGTCAACATGCTTACAGACCTGGCCATTCGACATGCACCGCTTTAACACAAATGACAGATGACTGGAAGGGCGAACTAGATAATAGGAAGTTAGTGGGTGCAGTACTACTTGATTTTAGTTCTGCTTTTGATGTCATTGACCATTCTTTGTTTTTACACAAGCTGGAACAATATGGTTTTAATTTTGATACGCTGAGGTGGTTAGAAAGTTACCTGACAAATCGAAGTCAAACTATTTTTTTTAATGGAAGTCTGTCAAAGATGAAGACAGTAACGTGTGGAGTACCTCAGGGTAGTTGTTTGGGACCACTTTTATTTTCTATTTTTACAAATGACCTACCATTAGTTTTAGAAAAAGCCAAAATTGTAATGTATGCAGATGACTCAACAATATATTATGCAGCATCGACTATAGGAGAGTTGACAAATGTTATGAATAAAGATCTACAACTGATATCAGAGTGGGTCAAAAATAATAAGTTGGTACTTAATGCTGGAAAAACAAAATCTTTATTAATAGGATAAAATCATCAGTTAAAAAGGTGAACCAAAAATGCAATTAAACCATATTCAAATTGAACAGGTCAAGGAGACAAAATTGCTAGGTATAACCCTGGATCATAAATGATCTTGGTCTAAACAAATTGATAATGTTGTATGTAAAATGGGAAGGGGTGTGTCACTTGTAAAAATAATTTTAAAATATTTGCCAATGGATGTCAGTAGACAAGTTCTGGATGCTTTGGTTCTGTCGCAGCTTGATTATTGTTTGGTTATATGGTCTAGTGCTGCAGAAAAATATTTAAACAAACTACAAGTAGCACAAAATAAGGCAGCACGATGTGCACTGCAATGCTCAGAACCAGAGTAACTGAAATGCTGGAGACACTGAAATGGTTAAGTGTCAGACAGAGGTCAACTTATATTTTGTTAAATGTTGTCAGAAATATTACAGTGACTCACTCACCACATATATTATCACAAAGGTTTATAGCGCAGTATGCTCAATATAACAATCAAACATGACATACAATAGAAGGAAGGTTTATATTACCCAAATCTAAATCAAATATGGGACAGAAAACAGTCATGTACAGAGCCATGGTCAGCTGGAACTCTTTACCCGTCCATATCATTCAGGAACATTCTCAAGTACATTTCAAAAGGTTGCTAAACAATTATTTAAGTATTATAAAGTACATTTGAACTGTGCCTATGGCTATGTATGCATATATTATTATGTACACTTATTTGTATTTACTTTTGTTTGGCCTTAGGATGGCGATAAATTGGATGACCATTTTATTTTTCAATTCATACAGCACTGTAAATTGCATGAAATTATGAGCTGTTTTGTTTTGTTTTAATTACATTTTGTTGTATGTATGTTTATGTATGTTTTGTGTGTGTGAGGACCCCAGGGAGAATAGCCAATGCTCATGCTAGTGCTAATGGGGATCCTAATAAAGACATAAAGATATAAGACATAGAACTAAAGATAGGGCAACTAATCAATCAAAATCAATAGATAGAGGATCTACGGCGAGAGGACACACAGCTGACTGACGCCATTATTTTCAACTGTGGATGGATAGATGGGTGAATGAATGGATGGATACAGACATGTCACTGATGGATCTACA